ATTTTTTTATAAATTTTGAGTATAAATATAATATTTTATTTAAAATAATGCTATTGTGGCCGAAGCGGGTCATGCCGACAGAACGCGGAGCGGACGTGGCATTCTGTTTGATTCTTGGTTTTGAGAAAGCGTAACCACTTCAATTTTACATATATTTCTAGATAATATTTTTTTATAATATATTAATAATAATTAATTTTTTTATTAAATAAAATTACTCAATAAAAACCATACATAGAAACAATAAAAAGTATTGCTTACAAGTACATGTCAAAAAGCCCAACAACTTATATTTTGAAACAGGTAGAGTATTGTTTGGGCAGCTTCACAATCCAACACTGTTGAAGTCTTCAGCTGCTTCTACACTTGAAAATCCCGAGGTTGTTTTCTCGGGAAAAACACTCCGACACTCAAGTCAGCAATACTCAATATTATAGAGAGAGATGCTCTCAAGAAGTAATTGCGGAGAGAGAGGCGTAGAGATTAATTACCTTCATCGGAGGTAGTTGAGGGGTATTTATAGCCCCTTGGTGCTGACATACATCTGCACGTGTGAGCACCCCATTGGCCCACGTGGCGCTGGTCACGTGGGTATGCTTGTACTGATACTCCTTTAGCTTGGGCTAATAGGTGGTAACCTAGGCCCGTTATGCACAGCCCTGTTTAGGTGTTGGGCCTATTCCAACATTACTCCCCCCCCCGGTGTTCGGTTGACGAACTGGGATGGATGTAGCCACGGGCCAACATTGTTGGGCCTATGCACAGCCCTGTTTGGGTGTTGGGCCTATTCAAGACGGCTTTAACAGCTTGCGGCCGACCTCGACGAGGGCCGAGCTGAAAGGTAAAACGAAAAGAGGCGAGCTCGCGAGCCTGAAAGTGTGTAGGCGAGCTGGTATTCATAGCCACATTAGTGTGGGCTTGTTATGGCGGCGAGCTGAAGCGATTCGCCACAGACGAGCTCGCTCAGGGACCAGCCATGTATGTAACGCCCTTTCAGCTCGTCCATGTGGCGACCTGACCTTTGAGTACTACCGAAGTGCGGCCAGATGACGCTGAGTTAGCTATGATCACGAGGTGAGGCGACGTGACCTCACATGCAGTGCGACTTGAGGTTTTTGACCACCACTTTATCAGCTCGCACGAGTAGTGCTGTCGAATAGGGCGACCTCAGGCACTCATTGATCTATGCAAAGGTCTGTGGCCTAGTGTAAGCTGCAATCTGTGTAACGACCTGACAAATGTGGTTGTCGTCACGATATGTGACGAGCTGAATCTTGGGGGATTTTAGTAAACGATCTACACTTTTGAACGAATTGTCACGGTTGAGCCGATCTGGCAAAATGTCATCTTTGTAACGACCTGGTAAGTGTGCTCGCAATGGCGAGCTGATGTAACAGTATAGGGTACACATCAGCGGTGACGATCTGAATCTTGGGATTTTTTGAGTCAAGCAAATCTCTGAGGAGATACGATTGAACTTCTCATATCTCTCTGCCTTCCCCGTCATAAATGCTGGCTCGGCATTTGAGGGATGTGACAGCTAAGGCCGGCGCACGCTATGCAGAAGGGGCGTTAAGCGCATGCCACGTGTGGGACGCTAGTTGGCGCGTCAGAAACACACGTACGACAATTAACACTACCATATCCTTCTCTGCGTAACCGTTTCCTTTTTCATTTTCATTTCTGTATTTGCTTGAATTTTCTAAAATTCTCTGAAGCGAAACGCTCCAGCGTGAAGAACAGTACACCGAATCGACTTCGCATCATTTTCAGGTAAAATGGTTTCATTGAGAGAACTTACAGAGCAATGAGGTAACCAGGGCAGAGAGGGAGAAGAGGAAGGGGTTTTGTCAATGGAGCTTATCACGATGATAGTGCCGCCTGAGTTGCAGGACTCGTCGGAAACAATGGCGCCTGAGAGAAGCGCCAGTTCGAGCGCTAGGGATGATGGTGGCGACCATCCTACTGCGTCGTCTAGCAGCTCGTCTACTGAAGAGACACCTAGCCGTGAAGAAAGGATGGGGGATGTGGTGAGCAGTGTCTCAGATCGGCTGGTGGTTGGGGAATGGGAAGGTATGACAATCCCGGGCAGGTTGAGTAACCTACGAAAAGCACCGAAGGACCTGCCCGCTGGATTCAGGTTCAAGGCTGCACTTCATCACGAAGTAGCAGATTGTGCGCCCTCCATAAGTGGGTATAAAAGACTCGAGGAGATGGTGAGGGCGTACCACATCCCCAAAACCATATTGCTGCGGACTGGCGGGCAGAACGAAAGGGCGTGCACAGTGTCGCAAACGTGCTGGATCCTAGTGTATGTGGACCACTTTGACGCCGGCCTGCGGTTTCCCCTGCCCGGATTGGTGTTCGACCTGCTGGCGGATTACGAGCTGGCGCTGACGCAGCTGACGCCCAACAGCATAAGGTTCATTATTGGCTTTATGCTGTTGTGTGAGCGATTAGAGGTACCGGCCAAGGCAATCGTGTTCAGGTCGCTGTTTCAATGCCGACTGTGTCCCAACTCCCGAGGCGCGAGGTGGTACTACCTCTCCGGGAGAGACAAAAGCCAGTTGTTCAAGAATGTCTAGAACAAAGTGGCGAGGTGGAGGAGGCAATTCGTATTTGTTCGCGACACGCGAACAGAGAGGATAAGCAACGACCTCGCTGCCCGACTATCAAAATGGCGCACGCCAAACGCCCATATCAACTACCCTCAGCTGCTACCCCAGGATGTAGATCTGAAGAACCAGCTGCTTGAGTATGCGAAGAGGGAGGGTCTAATAGATCTAGAAGCCCTGGTTACCTCGAAGCAGCTCGCCGTGTTCGGGTTTGTCGATGTGACAAACCTATTCAGCGAAGGTATATTTTCATCATATAACATGGATTCTAGCCGAGCTGAGGCTTATGCATTTGTTTGTGCAGGTGAAATGAGTAGCATATTGGAACGTCAACGTCAGCGTGCCCAGAGCTCACGAGGCCGTGGGGCGAGCAACGCGCAACCCCGGCAAACACGGTTTGACAAGCGGCCACCCCCAGCGCCTCAATCACGCGGCTCGTCACACCGGGGATCTAGCTCGGCTTCAAGGCCACGAGCAGAGCACCGAGCTGAGGCTGCAGCTCCGAGCGAACGCAGGCGTGCACGCGAGGAAACGGAGAGCGAAGATGAGGTCCCCCTCACACGACGCAGAACAAGCGGGGGGACTCAGCCCGCAGAGGCGACTCGTCCTGTGGTCGCGCGCTCACCCACCTCGCGGGCAGCAGCAGAGCCTGCTTCTTCAACAGCCTCTGTGTCGGGCCCCAGGATTGCTTATCCTGAGGGCTTCAGCTATGTGCGGGCGGAGTGCCAGCCCGCCATGGTGCAGGGCATGCACAGCTTTGTGCCCCCCGCAGATAGTAAGCGGGCAAAAGCGTTTGTGCAGCAGCCTGGCGGTCAGGTCGCCATGATTAAACTAATGGATGTAAGTATTTGTTTGTACTTAAGTGTCTTACTTTTCCTTGTTAGATACTTACAGTTGTTGCCGTTTGGCAGGCATTCAGCTACGCTGTAGCTCTGTACAAGAGCGAGCAGGGGGCTCGTACACAGAACAGCGAGCTCGGTTCCAAGTGCAAATAGTTGGCTGCTGAGAAGGCCAGCCTTGTAGACGATGTGAATCGTCTGCAAGGCTCTGAAAAGGCGAACCGAGCTGCGGCTACAGAAAGCAGGGCGGACGAGCTCACCAACAGAAACAATGAGCTCAGGGAGGAGTTGGAGCGAGCTCGAGCTGAAAGAGAGAGCGGAATACAGGCGGCAAAGGATGAGACCGCCAGGGTCGAGGAGCGGGCTAAGAAGGCCGAGGACGACAGGGACCGTGCTCAGCACGAGCTGGGTTCCCTTAGGCATCAGGTCGCCGAGGTTGACAGAAACCTCACTACTGTAGAGGAGGCGTTGAACGACCTGAAGGCATCTCATGCGCGCTCTGTCAGTATTGCTCGAGCCCAAGGAGTAGAATGGCTGGTCAGCTCGTCCGCGTTCCAAGACGCAGTGGCGGTGGCGTCTGCTAACATGACCACGGAGATCTACAACGAGATCCGTGGTAAGGTGCTGCACCACCGCCCGGACTTCCCCATACGCGAGCTGGCGTTCTTCGACAGGGAGGATATTGACAAGCAGGGTAAGAGCCTTGCTCCCCTCGCTGAGACTACAGCGCGGCTGAGGTGGGACCTCAATGAAGAGGGAGTACCTGTCTGGCCTCCTTCAGTTTTGGAAGAAGGGGAGGACCCAGCGGGTATGCCCTCGTTTGATGGATGGGTAGAGGGGGCTCCTGTTGCTGAGCAGGAGCCGTCAAGTACTCCTCCGAACTCTCAGCCCGCCATGGCGCTGCCCGTCGAAGCACCAGCTGCTGAGCCTGCTGCTCGCTCGCCTCCGGCTCGCTCCTCTCCTCCAGCTCGCTCGCCTCCCCCAACGGCTGATGCGTCCATGCCTGTCGACCTGACGGACGATTAGGCTTAGAGATTTTGTTGTTTCTTTGGTATTTCTTTTTGTCCTTAAGTATTTTTTGTATTTGATCAAAGGATCTATCCCCGATGTATGTTAAATCTAAAAACTTTGATGAAATGCAAATATGAACTTCCTTTTGAAATTGTTGTATTGTCATTTACAGTTTCTGTACGTTGTCATTTACAATTGCTTGATAACAGTGTGAATAAAATGGCAGAACACGTATTAACTGTAAAACTTTCTAAGGTTGTGTATGTTCCAAATGTAAGGCAACTGACGTCCTTATATATCTGCTAACACGTAAGACCCAGGTCGTTTAATTTGAACAACCACGTAGGGGCCTTCCCAATTAGGAGCGAGCTTGCCCATGTGCGAGTAAGTATTCGTCAATCCAGCTTTGCGTAGAACCAGATCGCCGACTTGAAACTGACGAGCTCGAACCCTTTTATTGTAAAATTTTGCAACACGACTCTGATGCGCCATGTTTCTTATTCTAGACATCTCCCTGACCTCTTCCACGAAGTCTAGGTTTTCTCTCAACAGTTGCTCATTGTTGAGATCGTCGTGCCAGCCTGCTCGTTCAGATGGTAATCCAACCTCTACTGGGATGACGGCCTCAGCTCCATAGGCCAAGCTGAAAGGGGTTTCACCCGTGGCCGAGCTGGGTGTAGTACGACAAGACTAGAGCACTTTGTTGAGCTCGTCAACCCAATAAGAGTGTGCAGTTACAACACGTGTCTTGAGGCCTCGCAAGACGATTTTATTGGCGGACTCGGCTTGTCCGTTAGACTGCGGAGTATACATGGATGTCAAGGCGAGCTCGATGCCATAGTTGTTGCAAAACAATCTCAGCGCCGCTGCTCGGAACTGTGGCCCATTATCGGCGATAATCCGCTTAGGTATGCCGAACCTGCACAATACCGAGTTGAACAGGAATTCTTCTATTTTCCTTTCTGTTGTCGTGGATAATGGTTTAGCTTCTATCCACTTAGTGAGGTAATCCACTGCAACGACCAGGAAAGCACAGCCTCCTTTGCCTTTGATGAAAGGGCCGAGCAGGTCGACACCCCATTGAGCGAAGGGCCAGGGGGACGTAAGAGATGATAGCATTTCTCCTGGCATGTGAATATCATCAGCATTGAATTGGTAGGTCGGGCATTTTTTGACATAGCTCTGTGCGTCCTTGATCATAGTGGGCCAGTAATAACCATGCCTCAGGAGTTTCCTAGCTAAAGTTCTGCCACCAATGTGCGTGCCACATACTCCCTTGTGAACTTCTCTCACGGCGTATTCAGCTTCATAAGGAGTAAGGCAACGTAATAGGGGTATTGAGGCTGCTCACTTGTAGAGCTGGTTATCTAACAATGTAAAATTTGCCGCCCTGCGTTTAATCAATTTTGCAGCGGACTAGTCTTCAGGTAGCTCGCCACTTTGTATATAATTTATGAGTGGGGTGGTCCAGCTCGGTGTAGAGGGATCTGTGCTTAGCAGTTGACACTCGATTGTGAAATCAGTGTAGCTCAGTGCGTCAAGCACTTCGACGATAGTTGACCTCTGAGGGGTAAGGTCCTGCGAGGAGGTCAATTTTGACAGCTAGTCAGCTCGGTGGTTGTTTGCTCTTGGTATTTTGTCGATCTGGAAGGAGACAAATCCTGACTTCAATTTGTTGACCACAGAAGCATAACGACCAAGCTGAGGATCCCTGATTTCACAGCTGCCTTTTACCTGGCCTACCACGAGCTGAGAGTCACTGAAGACTTGGATGTTCTGTACTTCAGCTTGGATGCCAACTTCAATCCATAAATTAGGGCTTCATACTCTGCAGCATTATTGGTTGTTTGGAACTGAAACCTCAGGGCATGCTCGGATTTAAAGCCATCAGGGCCCAGTAACACAGCTCCGGCACCCGATCCTTCGATATTAGCAGCTCCATCTACATACAAAACCCAACACGAGTGTTCAGGTGCCTTTTCTTTCACAACCGCCGGGGCACATTCAACAAAGAAGTCTGCCACAGCTTGGCCCTTTATAGTCGTGCGCGGTTGAAATTTGAGGTCATATTCACTCAGCTCGAAACTCCATCTGATGAGCCGACCAGAGAGTTCCGGCTTCTGCAATATTTTCCTTAACGGGAAATCAGTATAAACAACAATCTGATGAGACTTAAAATAGGCTCTCAGCTTACGAGCTGTGTAAACCAAAGCAAAAGCAACATTTTCTGCTATCGGGTAGTTCTGCTCGGCACCTTGTAACACCTTGCTCACGTAGCAGATAGGCTTCTGATTCTTATTCTCTTCCCTCAGTAGCACTAAACTCACTGCTTCTTTTGTGACCCCCAGATAAAGATATAAACATTCCCCATCAACAGGCTTGGACAGCAGGGGTGCGGACGCCAAATATTGTTTGAGCTCGTCAAACGCCTGTTGACACTCACCATTCCACTAAAAGTTTTTAGGCTCCCGTAGAGCTTTGAAGAATGGAAGGCACCTTTCTGCAGACCTGGCTATAAACCTGTGCAACGCAGCCACCCGACCTGTCAGACGCTGTACATCTTTTACTGTCTTGGGAGGTTCCATCTGCTGAACGGCCTGTACCTTCTCTGGATTTACTTCGATTCCCTTCTTGGATACCACATACCCTAGGAATTTCCCTGATTCCACAGCAAACGTGCATTTCAAGGGATTCAGCTTCATTTGAGCTCGACGCAAGTTTTGAAAAGTTTCATCCAGGTCGTCAATGTGATCCTCAGCTCGCACGCTGGTGACTATCATGTCATCTACATACACTTCTATGTTTCTGCTAATCTGGAGCTTAAAGATGATTTGCACCAGCTTCTGGTATGTTGCTCCAGCATTTTTGAGGCCAAACGGCATCATGACATAGCAGTATATTGCGTCACCTGCGTAAAAAGCTATTTTTTCCTGGTCGTCTAGCAACAGCTGGACCTAGTGGTAACCCAAGCTGGCGTCTAGAAAACTCATCCGCTCATGCCCAGCTGCCCGTTCTACCAACTTCTCGACATTTGGAAACGGATGAGGGTCTTTTGGACATGCGTCATTGAGGTTGGTGAAATCAATACACATCCTCCACTTGCTATTTGGCTTTTTGACGAGCACAGGGTTGGACACCCATTCAGAGTATTCCACTCTTCTGATGAAGCCTGCCTGTAACAGCTTTTGTATCTCTTCATCTATGGCAGCTTGCTTCTCGGGGCCAAAAAGGCGGCGTTTTTGCACCACTGGCCTTCTGGTGGGGTCTGTGCTGAGCTTGTGGACTGTCAATTCTGCTGGGATGCCAGGCATTTCATCCGTAGTCCACGCAAATACGTCCTGATTATTCCTCAGAAATTCCAGAAGGTCCACCAGCTCTTCCTTTATGAGCTTAGTGCCGATCTTCACTGTTCTCTTCGGCACGTCCGGGTTTAAAGGCACCGTTTCCACTGGCTTTACTAGCTCTGCCTTCTGCTCAGCGCTCTCAGGTCAATGCTTAATGTCTGATATACTCATTGCCTATTGACCGAGCTGGGTTGGCTTGCGGCCTTCAGCACATGCTAGGGTTGCGGCGAGCTCGACCTTTTTAAATGTGTCTTGATAACAGGCTCTAGCCATCTTTTGATTCCCCTTCAGCACTCCTACCCCTTGAGGAGTTGGGAATTTCATGCAGAGATGGGGTTGCGAGATGACAGCCTTCAGCTCGCACAGGGTGGCTCTTCCTAATATAG